TGCTCTGTCTATTCTAAATAGCCCAGACAGTGTTTACCAGAAGAGTGGCTTTGCTTAGTCCTGTTGCAGGAATTCTTCAGGCAATAGTGTGCTTCAAGCATATGCAAATCAATAGTTTTGAAACACCTATTCTGAAATGAGGCAGGGACGAGGGAAAGAAAATTGGATAATTCATTCAGAAAGTATATTTCTGCTTTCTGCTGATATGCCAAATGGTGAATTACAGAAAATCAATGTTCTTTTCCTTATGGTCTATTATTAGGTGCTCTGCTCCCAGATGTTTGGAGTGCTCTTATAAGTGAGGTTTTGTCCATTGGTTTTGGTGGCATTTTTACTTTATCAGAAATGTGTGGGGGATATTAAATGAAAATAAACAGGACAATGTTACATGTTAAAAAGTAGAGAAAACCCTTCTCACTGATATGGTTGTGTAGGCAAATGCAGTAGGACTGGTAAGGAATAATATTAACAAAAAGATTGCAAATAGAAAAACGCAAACCTGACAACACGAGATAAATTTCTTCAGTGACGTCTGTCTCAATAAGAGCAGCTGAACTTGGGAGAGAGTTTCTCTAGTAAAAGTAATGGAATTTAACAGAGAGTTCTAGTACTTAATTTCAGTTTTACCCCTTCCTTTCACCAATTAAAGCTGCATTCAGCTCTTCCCCTAAGGAGCCATGGCATGGTCTCTGAAGGAGGAGGTGACATCTCCTTCCAGGCAGCTTCCACAGGCATTGGCTGCCCTGCATTTGAGGAGGCAGGTAAAGGCACTGAAGCATTTCTTAGAATCTGATATAAACTAAAGCATTACAATGCTTTAATATAATTTGAAAGCATGCAGACATGTATTAAATTGTAATCACTCCCCTCTATATGGGAATGGGGAAAATGATATCTTACATTACACCAACATACAGCTACAGCTCTAATTAATTTCTTGGTTAAAGCCATAGATAACTCCATAAAATAATTAGCAATAGCTTCATAGATCATTTACCAAGTATCTGGAATTCAGACAGCAAAACATAGCTGCTCTAGGACAATGGTTAGTTTCCCTGCTAGTCTGCTTCTTCTTTAACTATCAACTATATTAGTAACATTATGGAGAGCTGATAGCAACTCTATAAATGTTTTATCAGACGTGAAGAAAGATCCATATCCCATAAAACACCAGTGTAAGCAGCTCTCATTTCGCTCAATTAACCCTGTGTCTTAATTCACTTGAAAATTTAACGGTACTGGAAAACTTATTTATTGTGTCCAAGAACAACAAATAACTTTTCAAAGGATTTGTAGCGTGATTGCAGGTGATTTCACAGCCTTATTAAGATGTTAGGATCCCTATATTCAGCAGTCAACCGAACTTTTATTATTTCAAGGTTTGCAGACACAGCAGCAATAAAACGTCCATGAGATACTGGATTACACAGGTAACAAAGCCATATTATAATTTACCTGTTTGTACTTTTATACAGAATAATTTACAGAACCACTGTTTATTCAGAGGTTATTCAAGAGGTTACTTAGGGATAGACTTTTGGTCAAGTGCCTTAGTTTTAGTCAGTTTTAACTTCTACCCTAAACATTACACCCGACTTTTCGGAAGGAGCAAGTTTAGGGATTTTCTCTCTGGAGCAAACATAGCTGTATGTGTTACTGTGCTACCCCCTCCACCTTTGGAAATGAACCAGTGAAATAAGAAACTGAATAAACAATCTATTTAAAGGAAAAAATCTGTATTGTTCTAAGGCTGGCCTTCTCTCTGGCCTCATGATGTGAATAGTGTTTTGTTTGACAGAAGATGTCAAAGTATTGTGTAGTGTTATCATCAGACTTAATGGACTTCCAGAGTTGTCATCAATAGTACTAATTCTGCACAAATAAAAAATAATTACCCAGGAGTCAATCAATTTGACACCTATAACACAGTGAGTACTCTGAGAAGAAACAGGAAAAACACCTCTGCACAATGAAAGTTTGCAACAAAAATTAAATATTATCTTTAATGAAAGGGCTTTTCAAATAACAAAAAATCCCACAGCACCAGCTTCAGAATCCATGTCTTGTTTCATTAAAAAAACATATATGGAAAAAGGAACTGTGTGCACATGAAATACTCAGTAGACATGAACTCTGTTATGTTCTCTGAACATGAGACAGGAAAGAGACTTGTTCCAAAGAACAGTGAAAATACACAGATTTTAAAAAGCACTCTGGCTGCCTGGGAACTCAGTGAGAAACTCAGAATAGTTTTATAGCTGATTTCAGATTTCAGCTCATTCAGCTATAGATAATAAATTCTCATCTAGAAAGAATTGAGGATGCATATTAACTATACACAATATAATCTGATGTTCAGGTATTCAATAACCATCCTCATGGTAAACCTTATGGATTTTTTTTTCTTTTGTGGCAAAACATCCCAGAATACCTTAATACAGCTGGAAAATTTGTCTTCATATCTAAACCAGAGAGAAGTAAACACTTAAGGAAATACTAAGAATTCACCATAATGATGGATATTTGTGGAGAGAAGAATTGGAAAGAAAATTATTTCTTCGTTGTGAGTGATACTCTAGAAGTACAGCTAGTAATATAGTGAAAAGAAAGGTTAAACAAAGAGAATAAATTTTATCTGATAATAAATTCTGCATTGTGGAAAAACCTTTGATGGAAATTACTTCTCCTGGTGTTTGGACAAAACACTGTAAATTTAACAAAGGATACACTTATGAATTGGTGGAGCAGGAGCTGGAAGAGCTTTTAGTAGTTTTCCTCTTCTTTCCTAATTATTTTGTCTTATTATCGACAGCATGAAGTATTTCTCATTTTTTTTTTCAAAAAGTCACAAAAATTTAAATACTATAATAAAAATAGTTACAAAATATATATTAAAAAATAGTATTATACAGGGGGGTTTTAACACCTATACAGGGGGGTTTTTACTTTATACATAAAAGTAAAAAGTTTTAAAATAAAAAGATTTTTAGCCAGTCCTATCCTTCCTCTTTCGTCTCCCTTACCTCCATGTTTCTGATAACATTAGCACTTGCAAATTAGTTTAAAATAAAAAAGCACCTTTAATATAAGTAATAAATATTAAAAAAAACCTATAAACATTTATCACATAATATAAAAGATAACAATAACCAGGGGAAAAGAAAGGCGTCAAAAGACAAAAAAAATATCAAAAAGTGTGTGTGCCTTTGCCTAAACTACTAACCAAACCACAATAGCCCAAAAAAACCCAATCTTTAGATAGTTAAACTGCCTTAAAACTGAACAGCAAAAAGCTGCTAAGTCTTTCTTTAGAAGCACAAGTTAAAAGAAAAATATTTCCACCATCCAAAACCCCTAAACCAAAGTTCCATCAAAACCTCCTGATTTGTCTCCTGCTTGTTCTGCTGTGTAGCAGACCGGCAAGAAGACTCCACCACAAAGGAGCTGTCTGCTCTTGGCACAAACTGCCCCTGAGGATTCCTAATAAACCTGAATTTCGAGCTGTGCGCATGCAGATTCAAAAATGCAAAGCCCAGGTTGCTGACTGTGATCCCATCACACCACAGCGGGCTTTTGTTCTGCCAGGATGACATTTTTGTATAGTTATGTCTCCTTGTCACAGGGAAAAAAACTGAAAATGTGAAGTAAGCAAAGGTACAGAGGTTTTGCTCACTTTTTGCAGCACTCAAAACTCAAATCCCCCTGATTATATAGCAGTGATTTGGGTATATTACAGAAGGCATGAAGACAAATGCAACCCAAAATCAATTTTTGCAGACTTCAATCTATTCACAAAGTTGTGTGTTCTTAGGGTAGATTGTGTAGGTCCAGATTCACAAGGAAACAAGATGTATTTCCTGGAATACTTTTTTTCATACTTTTTCATCATGTAAGGGAATTTTTATGAGGTGATTTTTCTGGTTATCTACATTAGCAGGCATCAACAAAGGTCCTCTATATTTAAAAAAAAAAAAGTAATAAGGTGGGGTTTTTATCCTTATGTAAATGTGTAAATTAAAAATGCATTCTATATTTGGTAAATGTGTAAACTAAAAATGCACTATATATTTATGGAAAGCAAGAATTCACTCCTCCTCACTGCATGCTTTAAGTCAGTATTATTAATATTGAAATGCAAAATATATCCAAGTGTACCACTGCCAACCAAAGGACTTTCTCACAGGACAAGGGAAAGTCTCAGGCAGCTTTTCAGATTGTCTGAGCTCTCAAAATGATTCTTACACCATTCTATCTCTTAGCCATTAATGTAAGGAACGAGGCCAAGCAAAAGAAGAGGGGCACTCCCAAATCTGGCTGACCTGGAGCTCTCAGAAGAGCCATCCAGGCAGCCAGACACAGCTCTAATTTCAGCCAGCAGCAGGAATCTAGCTGGATCTTGGCCACCATCAGCTCTTTGTGTTCTCAGTCTGTTTGGGTTTTTTCTTCCCCCAAAATAAAGCCTGTACACACTACCCAACCTGATTTTCTATCTATAAGCCTATTTAGACATATACAGGTGGCTCTGCAGACCTCTCAGTAACACATCCTTCATGGAGACACTTTGCCAGGGCAGGCAGTGCAGGAAGCAAAGCTCCATCAGCAGCCCCCACAGCCCCACTCCCTGCAACACTCATACCCCAGGCCTGCCACATTATCCAGTTGCCTTTCATTCCCTTTAGAAATGAGCTGGAGAATGGAGACGGGGAAGTGATGCATTTCCAACTTAAATTTTGGTCTCTTTCAGTTTGGAGGCTGCGTGCAGTGAGCACATAATCAGACTTGACAAGCTGCAATGGCTCCTGTACTGCTGTTTGTTTGTAGCAAAGATGCTGCTTTAAGAAGTTACATGCACTGTGAACATATTTTACTTTGGAAATATTATTGTTTACAGGATTAGAAATAATAAAATAATAATAAATTAATAGCAAGCTCAGCAGAAATAACAGAGCTTAAGTATGAGTTTTACTCTCCTAATGGGTATTTATTTATAATTTACTTACCTTGCAGTGATAATGAGGATAACCTGCCACGGCAAAGTAAGCTTTCCAAATGTCCAGCTTAGTGTTCTGCTTGCTCAGGTAGGAGAGCTGGTTTCCATCCCAGGTGGAGGTGTAACTCTCCACAGGCTGCTCAGCACAGGAAGCTTGCTCTCTGCAGTTCCTCTGCAGACAAAGTGCCAGGAGGGTCTCAGTGAGATTCCTTCACACAGCCCAGGGATAACTGGAGCCTGGGAGGAAGGAGAGCAGCTGTGACAAGCTGAGGGACACAGGGGACCCTCCAAGGGTGTCACACTGTGCAGGGAAGCTGGAGGTTTCATGGGTCCTCCTCAGCTACCATTTTCCTCATCTGTTCTACACCCCCAGTTCCCCTGGCGTATTTGAGAGGGTTGACACAAGGCACAGTGCTGCTGAAGGTGACAAATGCTGTCTGGTCACTCTGGCATTGCCCCACCACGCAGGCTGATAACATTTCTTCTCTTTCTCAAGCTCAACAAGCACAAACTCAGACATGCTGCACCCTTTCCTCAATGCTGACTTGGTCTCTGATGGCTTGGAGGTTGCTGGACACCACCTGCAGCTGGACCTGCTGATCTCCAAAAAGACCTGCACTTGTGCTTTCCAAAGGCTCCAGATGTTTTGGCAAGACACAGCCTGCACAGGGCCACAAAATGAAATGTTTGAAGACTAAAGGGTGGAGGGTTTGGAAGGGTTTTTTGGGGGGAGCGTGGTGTCAGGAGCATCCCACACACAACAGCCACGGGTCCATCCTATGTATGCTTTTCTGCAGGATGATCTGGCTTTTCACACAGGTATAGTAGAGTCACTCTATAAAAAAATCACAATGTCTTGGTGCCCACACTACTTCCCCTGTGTTTGAAAAAGAAACTAAGCTTCTAATCTTATCTAGACAATACTTCTAAGATTTCCTTCTCCTCATGTCCAAACAATCATCATTCATGTAATAAGTAATGCCTTGATATTAACTAGATCTCTAAGGAATCTTTTCATGGAGTTTTCATAGCATGGGCTGATTTATTTAATTGATGAATAGCCTTGTATGTGCTTATTTTTAATCCTACCCATTTATCTTTTGAAGAATTGCTGTTTGTAATTATTCCAAAGACATAATATAAATATTTTTAAGATAATAATGAATGACATAGCTTTTAGCAAGCCTTTTAATGTTTGTAAAACAATACCCTAATTATTCAGAATAAAATATTTACTCAGTTATTAAAAAAAGTGCCTGATATTTTACTCGGTCTCACATGAATACAATGAATCCAATAGGCTGTATTTCTCTATGAAATCCATGAGCACATATCTTTCTCTTAATCACATTCTCATACTTCAAAATCTGTAGAATACACTTGAAGATCTCTATGTTATGAGTTAAATATGAAATAATACGAAGAAAACCACTGTAGCATTTTACCTGCTCTATCATCTTCTGCATCCAACTGTTGTGTCACACTGAGAATTTAAATTGGAAGGTCTTTCTGCCAGGGGAGGTTTTTTTACTAAGTGGCAGAACAGCTTCATTGTCCATTGCTAGGGCTCCTTGTGCTAATGCACTACAAAGAATGATTATTATTTAATGAACACCTCTAGTCTCCAGGATGGTTCACTGAGGTTATCACTGTCAGTTACATTTTCTAAGCTTATATTAAAAATTACAGGAATAGCTACTCCCTTGTTCACTAAAGAGGACAGAATCTTTTACCACTTAAGCAAAAGTGTGCATAGATACCATCAGTAGTTGCAGTCTCAAGAGTTCTTAAAAATAGCAAGGAATCCATCTCGGGGTGCCTGGTCTTAGCCTGTGATTCAAAACCCATTTTTAGGCCATTAAATAGGCAAAGGAGTTTGTAAAAGCCCTTATTATCCAGTCATGTCCCACAAGTCTGCCAGTGAATCCATCAGTCCCCTATCATTGGAGATGAGACATTTCTCTTTATCCAGGTTCACAGACTGTAGAGGCTATTATTTTGATAATAGACCTTCAGGTGTTTCCATTTTGACATCTGAAGCTTTTCAAAAGACTTCTGAAGACTTCCAAGAAATATTCAAACCATCCAGACTCAAATATGAAGAGACTCACCTATTTCTTCCCTTTCTCCACATCTTTCCTCTTTTCTTTTGATTCTTCCAGAAAAAATTTGAGTGAGATTTACATTTTTCCAATTCCTTTTGACAAGTGAGATATTGATTTGAGATTCTAAAGCCCAATTTTAACCACTTAATCTTTGGCCAGTCTAATCAATATTTTAGCTTGTAAAATGAAATATTTTTTTTAACATTTCATGCTTGTGGGAAAACACTAAGAAAAATGGTTGTGAATTTCAACAATTTTTTTTTCCAAGTTTTTCATTTATCTGTGCTTCTCTATCCCACATCCTTCTTCCCTCCTCACTGTAAAGTTTCTTGATCATTAAGGAAATTGTCATCACTGCATTTGACATCACTTTGACTAATCTCAAAACAGAGGCTTTTCTGAACAAGCAACACGCTTCATATCCATTATTTTAAAAAAGTAATCAACAGTGGAGCACATTTATTGTTAAAATTTTGGATTCATGCAACATACATCCAACTTTGAGCAAGAACTGATGTGTTCTAAACATCAATGTATACTGAAAACTGATAAAACCAGCATGGAAGTTTTTACAGCTTATGGAAAAGCATCAAGAAAATACTTCATTGTGAAAAAGCACTGGTAATTTTCCCTCAAATTTTTAAGAGCTTTCTTTCATTTGCTTCTGCTGTTTAAGTAAAATGAGATTTCAGATTATCATGTCTATTGAATTAAATCTCACCTCAGTTTTGCTTATTCTACGCTTTGTGTCAAACTGCATCTTCCCATAAAAGCTCTCGAGTGGAAATACAACTACTTGACTTTTTAGGTTATAAGAACTTCTTTCTCTCTCTTCTATTAAAGGAGAAAAAGACTGAAAAGCTATAGCTGTTCATAAAATTTATTGTGCTCATAATCCTGTAAATTCCAATTTCACTGTTGTTTTCATTGGCTGGAAAACTTACTCAGCCTTTACTCATAAATTATGCATTTAAGAACTGAGTACAGACAGGATCTTATGATCCATAATTACAAATCAAGTCTTACACAATAATCTCTTCCTGTATCACTCTGGTAATTCTTTCAGCAACACAGCTTTGTATCTCCAGTATTAGTTTGTTTTTTTTTAATTTCTTTGGGGTCTGTATATTTTTAATGGAAAAATAATTAAAAATACCCTCACAGCAAACTCACACTGGCACTGCTGCAGTCCCTGTCCCCATGAACACACTTAGCACTGGAATTGCTGGAGGAATAATATTCTGAATGCAACCCAACACTGCCATTTAGTTAAGTATTAAGTTGGACTCGGCTCTTTAGACAGTTGCTCTCAAGAGATTCCTGTTCTGAATCATCCCCTGGGACAGCATCCAGGTCTTGCAAGCTGCAGAAAAGCTGAATACTTCTAACACACGTGTTTAAACTCAAATCCAAAGTACTGTGAGTAAATTTAAAGCATTTAAAAAAGGAAAGCTCCATAATCTGACAGTGCTGAGCGGGAGCTCTGCATGTTGGTGTCTCCATAGGTAAGAGGCAGTTCAGAAGTTGCCAAGTGAAAGGGCAGGCAATGGAAGCATCTTCTTTAAACATGCCAGATTTCACTCAACAATCCAGCAACATTATAGATTTATTCTGCCTCATTTCTCAAGGGAGTTTAAATACTCTAGCTCTGTAGAAACCCTGATTGCCAACCCTTGTACTAGTCAAACAAGGAGTACATGTAGCAGTATGCTGTGCTCAAAATCAATTACAGAAACTTAATGATTAACTGAAAAAAAATTACTGATTATATCATTATTTTATATGCAATTTATTTTAGAATTATGGAGCCTTTGGATATGTGGGGAAAAAAACGAACACCAGTTTGATGGTATTTTCAATATTCTAATTTTATCATAATGATTTAAGGCATAAGACTGCTTTAAACTAGAAAGCACATCTCTATCTATAAAAAGCAACAAAAATGTGTCGCATTGGATATTAGGCACAAGTCTATGACTTTTTAAAAAAGCTTTGAATATTAATGAGTAGTTTCTGAAAAATTGCTTCTTAAATTGTAAGTCAAATCACAACATTAACAAATTTGAGTTCCCTGTAATGATAAGGGTCCAAAAGATTCAGGATGGTTTTAAAAGAAACAGAAACACTGAGATTAAAGCTTCTCTGATGCCACTCAGGATCAACTTATTCCTAGATAACAAAATACCAGCCAAGCATGAGATTTGCACCTTCACTTCAGATTTCTTGCACAAGAGCTTCTTCCTGCCTTATCAGTGTAGGCTTAGTGAGTGCAGTGGGATCGGAGTCTCTCACTCTGGTTCTGACTGAAAACTTAATTGTTCGTGTCCATGTGCAGCAGCAAGCCATGCCTGCAGACTCGTGATAAATTTAGCTAGAGAACAGGAAAAAAAATAAGGGATAGATAAAATATTAACCTCCATCCGTTAAGAGTTAATGTGCCAAATTATATTACATGTATTATGCATATAACATAATTTTATTTATGCCGTAAATCAAATGGTCCCGATCGAAAGGAGAAATATTCTACCTGCACTTCAAGCAATATGGGTCAGTTTAAACATGCTTAATTCTACCGTGTCCCTAGCAAATTTATTTCTGTCATTTAGATCAAAGGCATGTATTTGCAGCATTTTCTATGCCTGCTCCATAGATGCAGATATGTTACTTCCATAAGACCTGCTACAAACACTATTGTAATTGCTCAAGAAATACGAAAATCACAGGATTTATTTCTGCGAAAAGATTCTCTTTAATAAAATATTGCTGGTTTTCTCTTAAGACTGGGTCATTACTTATTCTATTCATGCAGTTCATTTCAGAAGTTTCAAAGTATTTGACAATAACAAAAAAATCAATTAAAAGCCCAAAGACAACACTGCAGTAACATGAAAAGAAATATAATAAAATTAAATGCGAATTTTTAAATTATTCAAATTAAAAGTTTTATAGGTATCCACAGTAATGAAAAAATAATAAAAAGCCTTCAAAGGAAGAAAAAAGGCAACAGAGGATTTGAAGACTGATATTTAGTTTAATATCTGTAATTAGTTTTATAATTTGGCAATACTTGTGCCTCACAGGATAATGGCAGTTGTCTACAGAAATTGCATATGCACTTGCTCAAAACTAATTTTTCTTTTAACTATCTGTGCACCAACTTACAGCTCCTTTATGCTGTGTGTACTGAACTCAAGAAAATTTTGTGCTTTTTTGACACACTCGATCTATAAATCTCAAGGCAACTTAAACAACCACAGCACTTGGCAAGTTAAAAATGATTTTAACTTTATAACTGGGGAAACTGAAGGATGAGATTCTTACCTTCGGATATTTCTCATAGTTCCTGAGTGAAAATTAGAGTGCCCAAAAGCACAGAGGTGCCAACCACCCATGGCTTGCAGGGATGTGTCAGCAGCAGCAGCACTCCTGCTGCACTTACTCACCTAGAAACCTGAAAACTTTTATTTTTGCTGCCTAAGTGTGTGAAGGTTGGGTTTAATCCCTGGCTGGACTGCATATTTATCCCCTGACAATTTATTATGGCACTGTATCTGAAACCCCACGTTATGGAGAATTGGTTGGCCTTTACGGTGCCACAAGCTGAGAATCTCAGAGTTTTTATTCTCCACCTCTACTTCTCACAACAGCACCCCAGCTTTACAGAGTGAGAATCCACCAGCAATGGAATTAAGAGCTGGATGTAAATTCACCTGGATCAAGATGCTGCACTACCCCAGAGATAATGAAGAAATTAGCATAATGAGGCAAACAAATGCTTTAGAATCATAACTTCCCCTCCAATGCCTCTTGCAATGCTTCCTTTGCTCTGCTGAGTTCTAAAACCATCTCAGGGCTGCTGACAAGCGAGTGATAAAGGAAAAGAATAAAATGCTGTCAACAAATGTTGCCCATTCCTTTTTATGCTCTCCACACACATGATCTGGGCTACAGAAAAGTAGAATCAGTCGTGCTGGGTTAGAGTGAAGTGGCTAAATCCTGCCTCCAGCTGCAACCTGTGGCTGGTGCTTGGGGGACGTGGGAGAACCAAGGGAAGGGCAGACTGGTCCTGCTTTGCAATCATCACTGCTTTTGGCAGTCAGAAGTTTAAGGATTTCCTCAACTGCCTATCTTCCATTCATCTGGAACCAAGGTCTAAAATTTAATTGCAGCTTTATGAAAAAATATTCCCTCCTGCACATTGTAAACCTATTCCTTGAAAGCAGGTGGTTTTGTTCTTCCCTAAGTAAATTGTTCACAGTCACCTTTGTAATGACATGTTTTTATTGATCTCCCTGTGACCCCCTTTTTCTTGTACATGTTGCGTCCACTGTTTTCTCTGAGGAAATAAATCCTCATATATTTGGTAACATTCATCTCTCGTAACTACTTCCATTACTCATAACACTCTATCTCACCTTTACACCAGGCATTAATCATCACAGCTGATAATTATTATGATTAAGAAACAGTGACACTCAAGTAAAAACATTTCTTCTCTTTTCATAAGTGCTTAGCTTCCTAAAGGAACTTCCTGTGTATACTGTCAGAAACCCCAGTTCACTACAGCTATTCCAGTAAACTCAGGATCCAAAAACATGCCTACTCACAAGAATTTTTCTCTCTGCAGTTATTAAACTGTTAAAATTGCCCTTGTCACACATTTGGTGCAGTGAGCTGGCACTCTTTGGATAGTACCAGCTGCAGTGCAGCCCACTAGGTTACATGTGCTCCCCACAGGCATTTTGGATAAAATCCCTCCTCCTCTGATTTGGGAGTGTTTTTTAGCATGGCCAGATGCCACCTGCTGGCCCCAGGGCCAGTGACCGTGCCCTGGCACTGCTCCTTGCCAGCATGGATTTAAATAAAGCCCAAAAGAACAAGGTTATGCAATGAAGCATGATTTACCTTCCATGTCCACTCCCACTCATTAGAAGAGGTTATATTTGATCAGCACAGGCCCACACAAACAAACCTCCAGATTTTGGATGTTCTTGGAGATATGGGGCTCCTACATCCTTCTGCAGCCACCTAGGCCAAGCACATGTTATTCATAAATGTTTAATATAAAGAGAGTCAAACACAAAGTGAGAGCAGCATTCCTACAGCTCAGCCCACTGCCAGAATCATATTTTCCCCTCTTTTGCGATTAAGGTGCCCCACAAATTTTTTGTCATAGTTTTTTGGGGGTTTTAAAATTAAAACAATTAAACTATTTAGTCACGGTTTAGAAGCTCCACAGGTAGGATGCTTACTCCTGTACCAAATAATACCTTACTTTTTAAAATTATTATAAAATATTTTTAATATCTTTTTTTTTTTTTTCTTCCCAGAAAGGAGGTCAGAGATAATATATTTCTTCTACTTAAAAATTAAAACCTAAAACAAACCCCAACCCAAGTTTTTTCTGCATGTGGTCTTTCCAGGCAGCTTTAGCATGGTGTAATTCCTCACACTTTCTTTCTTAGTTGGTGAGGCTGCCCAGCTTATCATCCAGGTTTTCAGCTTAAAGCCACACAACATTTCATGGAGCTGAATTGAACTGGGGACTTGTTGAATAATGAATTCTGCTCTGACTTTGTGAGCCTTCTCATCCAACAATTATAATACTGATGGGTTCCATTTACAAAGTTAATCACCTTCTTATTGAAACACAGACTTTTATCCAATTTTTATGTATTAGTGTGAACGTTATTTCCACTCTATGTTCATGCTTTCCTTCGTGTTTCTCCCATGCCTGTTGCTTTCTGTAGGGTTTGGTTGTTGCACTGCTCCAGAAAGTTCAAAAAGCTCCAATTTTGCTAAGCTCTGCAGAAATGTGCCTTGTTAAATTTACCTTTTGGTGACATCCATCTCACTGACTCTGGATAGCTACACCATAGTCATCTAAGTCTTTGCATAAGAAGGTCCTGTGGAGTTTGTGGACAGAAAAAGGCATTTTATAAGGCAGTATACTCCAGACTTGTGAAATCACAAGAACCAGCTAAGATCCAGACTTTTAAACTCTAGCCCTCTAAAATTAGCTGAACTAATTCTATTTCAATTACATATTTTTTTAATACCACCTTCCTCATAAGCACACGAGGAGAGCCAATTCTTTGATTGCCCTGAAAAACAATAGCAGAATAACACTCGAGAGCTCAATGTGTTGTATTTTCCCAAGTGATTAGCAGTGCATGAGTGCCAACCTGCAAGTGCAAATCATATTCAATTACCATCAATCTAGAGCAGAAAATAAGGACATGATTGTTCACAGAGGTTTAGTGTGTAATTCTGTCTTTTTCAATGATTTCTCCAGAACACACCATGCACCCTATGAAAACCTTCCAGGCACTTAATTTATAGCGTGGTCTAAAGAACAGAATTGTCCTCTTTGATGAGCTGTGATCAAATACATTGTCAGCCTAAGATGGGATGAATTTGAAGCAGCAGCATGTTTCCTTGAGCCACGGAGGAGGAAGTGGTGGTAAGAGACAGCAAGGTTTGTTACGTGTTGTGTTCACATTCAATCCATCATGTCCCTGCTTTGTGACCCTTGTGCAGAGACAGAATTCATACTTTATGAAAAAAAAAAAAAAAAAAAAACCCAGCTGTGAAGTTTTATGGCATAGCATTACACTTTGCTTTCAAGCACACAGAAACTTCTGCTGGTTTCACACGTGGATGTGAAATCAGAGTTCAGCCCTTGAGGTCCACGTAAATAATTTGAGACTCAGTTTGAAAAGGGTTAGGAAGGTGTGCATTAATATTTAAACTTGTTTTGGATGGCATTTTCTGGGACATGTTTTCTAATCATTGGCATTATCCAAACATGGCACATTTCTTCTTTAGCAAGGTTTTACTGTGGGATTATCTTGATTGATGTGGATAACAGCATTGCTATGAAGAAATGTTTTTTATGCATGCACTCCAGTTTCTGTTAACAACTGTAAAGATTAGTGGTTTGTACAACAGGTATTAACAGACTTTTTCTGTTATTAACAATTTAGGTCACTATTTTGCTTTTTATTTTATGCATGAAGGTTTTATGATTATGTATTCCAAGCGATTCTGCTTTCCTATTTGATTTATTGTTGAGCAAGCTTACTTAAGTCCTTGCTCACTTTTTAATATTTGAGGAATTCAAAAAGACTGCAGGCTCGAGGAGGGTCAATACATTATACCGTACATTTAGGATGAATGTAAAATGTATTTCCATTTTGTTTTGTGCTACTAAAAACCTCATCAGTAAAGGCAGCAACTTTATTAACATTGCTGGCAAAATGATGTTCTGAATGACACATAGCAGGGTCACAACCAGACTGTCACAGCTGAGTGAACTGGGCTCTGTTCAAGGCTGTGCCTGGTACTGGGTGAGAGAAGGAAAGGAAGTGCCACTCAAATACATCAAATTACATATAATTCAAAGATTTAAACAATCTTCTACCTTGAGTCCCAGCATATAATGTTCCTCCCTTGCCCAGCTTCTCTCAAAAACCTTATTTAAGGCTTTAATTTTTATTTTTGTCAAAGAACTCAGAAACCTTTTACATACTTTTCTGAGGGAAAATCTATGTCCCATCTATTCCCAACTATCTGCAGGTCTGAAAGTTAAACAGATATTTTTCTTCATGGTAACAGAAACAACAGGGGGTTAAAATGGAAAAAAAAAATAGAGCAATACCATTGGGCTGAA